AGGAGTTTGTAGACTCCAAACACAAAGAAATAACTAATGTTTAAGGAGATGGAGATGCTAATTACCCTCATTTGATCATTACATGTTGCACACATGTATCAAATGATCAGCTGTACCCCACAAATATGTAAATGACTCTGTTACAATGAAAAATAAATAAAAAACCAAGATTCTGTACAAAGAAGGAAACAACAGAGTGAAGAGTCAGCCTACAGAATGGGAGAAAATATTTGCGAACTGTGCATATGACAAGGGGTTAATATCCAGAATACATAAGGATTTAAAGCAACAACAAAAACAAATTATTAAAATATGGGCAAAAGGCATGAATTGAATTCTCTAAAGATAACATACAACTGACCAACAGATACATGAAAAATTGCTGAACATCATTAATTATCAGGGTAATGCAACTCAAACCCACCAGTGAGAGATCACTTCACCCCAGTTAGAATAGCAGTTACCAAAAAGACAACAAAAAGCCAGGCTCTCAATCCCAGAGACTCAGGAGTGTGAGGCAGGAGGATCACAAGTTCAAGGCCAGCCTTGGCAACTTAGTGAGACTCTGTATTGAAATAAAATAAAGAGGGCTGGGGGTATGGCTTAGTGGTGGTGAGCCTCTGGGTTCAATCCCCAGAATTGCAATAAAGGAAAATAAATGATGGAGTAGATGAATATATAAAGAAAATGGTGTATATACACACACACATACATATACATACATACTATTTGGCCATAAAAAGGAAGAACATGGATGACATAAGAGAAATAAGCCAGGCACAGAAAGGCAGATACTAAATGTTGTAATTGTGGAATCTAAAAAAGATGATCTCATAGAAATACCCAGTGAAATAGGGGTTTGCGGAGACTGAGGAGGGTGGGCAGCTGGGAAGGGTGGGGAGATGGTCAATGAGGATAAAATAAGATAGGGGAATACGCTCTGCTGTTCATAGGGGGACTGTAGTTAACAATGTTATACTGTATATTTTAAAATAACTAGAAGAGAGGATTTTGAATAGTTTCATCACAAGGGATGATCAATGTTGGAGGCAGTTAATATACCAAATATCCTGATTTGATTGTTAGTATACATGTGTGGAATATGTTTGATCATCAGTGTACACTGTTCCCCATAAGTACATATGATTATCATGTATCAGTAAAGAAGAGAAGATATGAACAGCATGGTTAATGTAGTTGATTCGATGGACCAGTATAGATATTGTTCCAACAGCTGCCAAAATCACAGAACATACACAAATCCTGGACTACGGAACAAAGTGCAACACATTTTAAAGGATTTAAATCATTCTGAGTATGTTTTTTTCCTTGCCATAATGCAACTAAAGTAGAGAACAACAACAAAGACTGCCCCTCCCCCCCAAAAAAGAAAAAAAAGCCCATATGTTGGGAAATTAGTACCCACATTTCTATATAAACCATGGGATATAAAAGAATCAGAATAGAAATTAGAAAATGTTTTAAAATGAGTTTTGAATAAACTACATAAAGAAACATGTCAAATGCAGCAAAACTGTTGCTTCAATGATAATTTCTAACCTTAAGTGCATGTACTGAAATTGAATAATGGCCGACAGTTAATGACCAAACAAGAAATTAGAGAAAGAATAGTTAAATAAATCCAGAGAAAGTAGAAGGGAGGAAGTGGTAACAGAACAGTGGAAAATAATGAAATAGAAAGTAGACAATCTGTGAACTCAGAACTGAAAATGTTAATAAAAAATGGAAGACAATCAAGAAAAAAAAAGGCAGGCACAAATAAAATTCGTGAAAGAATAAAACAGAGGACTTCATTTCATTAAATAAAATAAGCTGGAGGCCATTAGCTGGAGACTGTCTCTGTACTCTGTGTTCCTGCATAACAAACTGCAAATTAACTTAGTACATATACAGACCCAAACCTAACTCAGTAGTTTATTTTTTATTTTTATTTTTGTGGTACCAGGAATTGAACCCAGGGGTGCTTTACCACTGAGCCAAATCCCCAGTCCTTTTCTATATTTTATTTAGTGACAGGGTCTTGCTGAGTTGCTTAGGTCCTCACTATATTGCTGAGGCTGGCTTTAAACTCCCTATCCTCCTGCCTCAGCCTCCCAAGACACTGGGATTACATGTGAACTCCACTATCCCCAGCTAGAAGTCATTTTTTGGTGACAAATAGCTATTTTAGCCACTCTCAAACAGCCAGCCTTCAGCCAGTCACAGGTAGCTGAATGATTAGACAGGCCCGTAGAAGACGAATACCTCATCACATCGTGTCCAGGAAGTGGCCTGGCTGTAGCCAGTCCAATCAGATGGTTCCCCTACTTTGCTTCTGTATTCAGCCTATAAAACCTCACTGCTCGCACTAAACTTCCCCTGAACCCCGGTTCCAAGCATGGCATGAACCATTCTTTGCTTAAGATACATCCTAATTTGTTTCATTTTTTAAAACACCTTAAATCCTTTAGACATTAAAATAATAAAAATATTATAAATAATAAAATTGAAAATTTATGAAAGAATAGAAAGTCTTTGAAAAATACAACTTACCGAAAATAAGAGGAAGAAAATCTGAATAGTTCTGTAGTTGTTAAGTAAATTTATCCTGGGTCACAAAACAAAACATACAAACAACAAAACTTCCCGCCTGGCGACACTGGTGAATTCTACCAGGTGAGAATGTCAGGAGAAAGGAAATTGACAGGGCAAATTTGTTTCTGAATATAGCTATAAAAGTTCTAAACAAAATATTACTAAGTAAAATCCAGCAATATATGAAAAGGATAATACATCTTGTCTAACTTGGGTTTATTTTTTAAAGTCGTATTATCTTAACGCTTTAAAATTCACCAGTGCAATCACTACAGTTTATTAACAGAACAAAGACATTGAATCATGTCTCAATAGGTAACTCAGCAACTTGTCAGAGAGTCTGTCTCAGAGTAAAAATTAAAAAAGGGCTGGGGATGTAGCTCTGTGGTAGAGTGCCCCTGGGTTCAGTCTTAGTACTGCAAGAAAAAAAAAAAAAGTGAAGAAATGTTTGGAAGTGATAGATATGTTTATCTTTGGAAGTGATAGATATGTTTATCACATGAATTGTGGTGAGGGTACCATGAATGTGTACTTGTGTCTAAGCTCACCAAATTGTGCACATTAATTATTTACAGTTTTTAATACTAATTATACCTCAATAAAACTGATAATAAAATGAAAATCCAGAATAAATATGCATGGTATGACCCATTTATCTAAACAGACGAGGGGATTCAAAGCAATGGTATTAGTGTGAGCATAAAAATTCTGTCTCCAACAGCAATTAAATTCTCTATGACTATAAACTGTATAACCTGGATCCTTATGACAGCTTAGATTCTGTGAATGTGGGAAGTTCTTTCCATAAAATGTTTTGTACTTGGGGTTAAATATTTTTTTACAAAATGTGTAGAGTTAGTTCATGAACAAATACGGACAAAGGCACCCAGATGCAAGGATTAGGGGCACTGAACGTAGCTAGGGAGGATGTAGGGCCCAGGAAGTGGGCAGAGAGAAAACTGTTGGATTCCTGGCTGAAACTAAAACAGCAGTTGTGTGCAAACAGGTTTATTTCCTCTCTATTCATCTGAACAACACACCCAGGCTTGAACATTGCTTTCTGAACCTCTCTGCAGGAAGAGAAGGTTCTGATGGTTTGAGTGTCGCTCAACTCAGCAAGGTACTTTGCTCAGCCTGGTACTCCCAACATCCCTCCTGCCTGAAAGTAGTAGGTGCAGGCAGGGTTGGTGACCATGAAACCTTTTTCTTTTGGTCAAAGAGCATGCTATTTCTAGAGCTCCATCCAGTGAACAGTTGTCCATGAGAGCAGTAGTTTGGTTCTATGAGTTCTTTATGTGCCGGGTATTAAGGAAGGGGAGAAGCATGCTTAAAGCTAAGAGGGTTTCCAATTCAGGAAGAGGTGATGGAAAGTGGCTATGGTGAGCCTAGCTCATTTCTTACTTTCTTTCTTTTTAAAAAAATGTGTGTGTGTGTGTGTGTGTGTATGTATACACACACACAGTAGATGGACACAATACCTTTATTTTATTTATTTATTTTTACATGGTGCTGAGGATTGAACATAGTGCCTCTCATGTGCCAAGCAAGCGCTCCACCACTGGGCCACAACCCCAACCCCCTAGCTCTCTTCTTAAACTGCTTGCTTGATCATGCCCCCGTTCCTTTATTTGCTTATAACCCATTTTTATTGAGGCCTGTTCCACATTCCCACATGGTAGTGAAGCCAGATTTAAAGTTAGGTAGTCAGTGTAGTTAGGTAAATTGGGTCTAATATTGAGTGAAATCTAAAATGGAGACCATGATGAGAATGACTCTGGGAAAACACAGGACAACTCATGGAATGTTAATGAAGTCCCGAAAAGGCCCTAGGCCAAAGTCCACCTCAAAGAAATGTTAATGAACAGCCCCCAGCAAAAAGGTGCTGACTCAGAAGTCCTTCCTGACCAGATTACTTCTTTGGCCCACCTGTGTCCCACCCCTCGGGCCTTCCCACCTACATTCCATCACTGAAAGAACTATAAAAAGGGGAGACAACATCCCTTCCACGGATTCCACCTCTTGGGTCCCCTTCTTCCTCCGGGAGAAGTCTTTTCTGCTGTCCTTTAATAAACTTCTAATTTCTACTCTGACCTTGCCTCGGCGTGCTTCTTTGGTGTTATTCTTCAACATTGGGGAAGCAAGAACTCGTCACTGGTCAACAGCGGTAACAGTAGTACTTTAAGTCTGAGCAGTGGCCAAATACCTGTTTGTGCTGCTGTATGTATCAGGGAATTCATTTCTCATCCTCATTCATATGTTCCATTTGCCTTCCTGTTATTTCCTCTGTGTGTGTATGTGAGAGAGAGAGAGGTGGGGGGGGACTGTGAGATGCTTGATAAAGCATTTCTCAAGAATCAGTTATGTTGTCAGACACAATCACTCATTGGAACCGCTTTTATTTGTAGGTGCAACCTGGACAATGCCACGGGCTTTGTGGACAGTGTGGGCCTTGGGGGCCATGATCCTCCTCTCCAAGGAAGGGTCTCCAGATCCGGCTCCTCTGTCTTGCAACCCCACTGGCATCTGTGATGGCCGCTCCAGATCTTTCAGCTCCATTCCCTCAGGGCTCACAGCAGCCATGAGAGGGCTTGACCTGTCCAACAATGAGATCACCTATATCGGCCAAGCTGATCTGCAGAGGTGTGTCAACCTCCGGGCTCTGATGCTGAAGTCCAATGGGATCAGCACAATTCAGGAAGATGCCTTTTCTTCCCTAAGCCATCTGGAACATTTGGATTTATCTGATAATCAGTTATCCAATCTATCGTCTTCCTGGTTTAGGCCCCTTTCCTCCTTGAAAATTTTAAACTTACTGGGAAATCCTTACAAAACACTTGGGGAAACATCTCTTTTTTCTCACCTCCCAAATTTGCGAATCCTGAGGGTAGGAAATAGTTACACCTTCACTGGGATTCAGAGAATAGATTTTGTTGGACTCACCTTTCTGGAAGAACTTGAGATCATTGCATCTAGTCTCCAGAGTTATGAGCCCCAAAGTTTGAAGTCAATTCAGAACATCAGTCATCTGATCCTTCATATGAAGCAACCTATGTTACTGGTGAAGATTTTTGTAGATCTTTTAAGTTCAGTGGAATCTTTTGAACTGAGAGATACAGACTTGGACATGTTCCACTTTTCAGGGCTATCCGTCAGTGAAACGAATCCAGTGATTAAAAAGTTCACATTTAGAAATGTAGACATGACCGATCAAAGTTTTAATGACCTTGTGAAACTGTTGAGTTATGCTTCTGAGTTGTTGGAGGTAGAGTTTGATGACTGTACTCTTAATGGAGTTGGTGATTTTCATGTATCTGAGCTCGAGAAAATTAAAATTCCAGGTAAAGTGGAAACACTCACTATACGGAAGTTGCATATCCCAAAGTTCTACTTATTTTATGATCTGAGCACAGTGTATTCAATCACTGAAAGAATTAAAAAAATCACAGTGGAGAACAGTAAGGTTTTTCTGGTTCCTTGTTTATTTTCACAACATTTAAAATCATTAGAACACTTAGATCTCAGTGAAAATCTGATGGTTGAAGAATACTTGAAAAATTCAGCCTGTGAGGATGGCTGGCCCTCCCTGCAGACCTTAATTTTAAGGCAAAATCACTTGACATCATTAGAAAAAACTGGAGAGATTTTGCTGACTCTGAAAAACTTGACCAACCTTGATGTCAGTAAGAACAGTTTTCATTCTATGCCTGAAGCTTGTCAGTGGCCACAAAAGATGAAATATTTGAACTTGTCCAGCACACGGATACACCGTGTAACCAACTGCATTCCCAGGACCCTGGAAATTTTAGATGTCAGCAATAATAATCTCAATTCATTTTCTTTAATTTTACCTCAACTCAAAGAACTTTATATTTCTAGAAATAAGCTGAAGATTCTTCCAGATGCTTCTTCCTTACCCATGTTACTAGTCATGAATATCAGCAGGAATACCATAAATACTTTCTCTAAGGAGCAACTTGATTCGTTTCACAGACTGAAGACTCTGGAGGCTGGTGGCAACAACTTCATCTGCTCCTGTGAATTCCTGTCCTTCACTCAGCAGCAGCCAGCTCTGGCCCAGGTGCTGGTGGACTGGCCAGACAGCTACCTGTGTGACTCTCCCTCCCACGTGCGCGGCCAGCGGGTGCTCGACGTCCGGCTCTCCGCCTCCGAGTGCCACCGGGTGGCGCTGGTGTCTGGCGTGTGCTGTGCCCTCTTCCTGTTGATCCTGCTCACGGGGGGCCTGTGCCACCGCTTCCACGGTGTGTGGTACCTGAAGATGATGTGGGCCTGGCTCCAGGCCAAAAGGAAGCCCCGGAAGGCGCCGTGCAGGGACATCTGCTACGACGCGTTCGTCTCCTACAGCGAGCGGGACTCCCACTGGGTGGAGAACCTCCTGGTGCAGGAGCTGGAGAACTGGGAGCCGCCCTTCAAGCTGTGTCTGCACAAGCGGGACTTCGTCCCTGGCAAGTGGATCATCGACAACATCATCGACTGCATCGAGAAGAGCCACAAAACCGTGTTCGTGCTTTCGGAGAACTTCGTGAGGAGCGAGTGGTGCAAGTATGAGCTGGACTTCTCCCACTTCCGCCTCTTTGATGAGAACGACGACGCGGCCATTCTTGTCCTGCTGGAGCCCATTGAGAAGAAGGCCATCCCCCAGCGCTTCTGTAAGCTGCGGAAGATCATGAACACCAAGACCTACCTGGAGTGGCCCCGGGAGGAAGCTCAGCAGGAAGGCTTTTGGATAAACTTAAGAACTGCAATAAAATCTTAGGTTCCTGGATCACAGTCTGGCTGAGTGGTGGTCTTCAGTTGGTGTCACTTAGTTCATTCTGACATAATTGCATTCACGGGAATGTTCTATTATTTGAGGACTTGTTCACTAAAACTACTTAAACTGCAAATTTTATCTACAGTGCTGTTGTATAAAAACGGTTACCAGATTAGAAAAAAAAAAGTCTTTAAAAATTCTATGATATCATCATGACCCAGTTCCATTACTGGGTATCCGAATGATCCATGGCAATTGGCTCAGTTCATCAGCAAATGGCACAGATGCACTAAAGGTGTCAAATGGTTGTCTCAGGTGGGCTGGCTTGTTGTGAAGCCACTCAGGGGTGGCCACAGGGAGCATTCTCCGTGCCACCCCCTCTCATCTCTCTGTATAGTTGATCTCAAGAGCAGCAAGAAGTGTTTGAGGACACTAGACTAGACTTGATGCTCTTCCTACAAAAGGGCTGTGTGTCCCCGTTCAATTTTTCAGCATACAAAATATCCCGAGGGTGCAGTTTCATTGTGAATGGGGTTTACATTCTTGGGTATTTAACAGATTTCTCCAGCCATATTTACTTGAAAGAGAATGTCTAATACAGGAGTCAATAAATTATGTCTTACCGTGAAAGCAAAACTATTGAGACAATAAAATGCTTAGTTTAGAGGAAGCTGAAGGAAGTCTCCCACATGGGACCCTGAACTTCCTCAGCCTTTGACCACCTGCAAATTTTCCTCCCTCACATGCCATGTGCTGCTTTTTTGTTCTTTGAAAGTCTTTTTTTTTTTTTTTTTTGGTATCCTACCATGGATGGAAAAGTGGGGTGATTAACAACCAAGCCACATCCACAGTCTTCTTTATATTTTATTTAGAGACAGGGTCTTGATAAGTTTCTTAGGGTCTCCCTGCTGAGGCTGGCTTTGAACTTGTCATCTTTCTGTCTCAGCCTTCCAAGCCACTGGAATTACAAATGTGTGCCACTGCTCCCGGCTTATTTGAAAGTCATGTTTCTAATATGAAAAAAGAGAGAGAGCTTTTTTAAACAACCCATGTGAGCTGAACAGATTTTTAAATAACTATATATCTAAAGGTTCTTTATCATGACTCAGAAACAGTTCAGTCAACAATAATTTGATGATCATGCTAGCATATATCAATTTCTATAATCAAGATTTAATACCACATTAAATTCGGATGAGCACTCTTTGCTAAGAGCTCGTTTCTGATTCTGTGCAGCTTTCTTCTTTGCTGGGAACTGTGTTTGAAAGGGAGTGAACCACCTTCGACCCCTGCTCAAATCTCAACCAGACTAGGCTTATGTGGCTAATTGGGTTCTGGAGTGAGACGAGATCTGGGTTGGCAGATGTATAACCTTGGACAAGTCACCTGGCCTGATTCAAAATGTTTTCTTGTCCTCAAAATAGGGACAATCACCTGCACCTGCTAGGTTTGGAACGCAGCACTGAGTGTAATCCACAGAGCACATGCTCTTTGGTACCCTTGCTTCTGGAGGGTGTGAGGAGGGCAAGGGTTCCAAGCCTGCGAGAATGAGAATCGTTTTGCCTGATGTGATATGGCAGCAATGCCTGGCGTAGATGTGAGCTATTATGATTTTTCAGGAAGGGATACATTTCTTTATAAAATTATAGGTTTAAGTGGATTTTTTTTTCTATCATCAGGACTAGCAGGGATAAAAGGAACCCTGCTGTTCACAAAATTACCCAAAGGAAATAAGTTCATTCAGTATGTATCAGGTGTTAATCTTGGAGAACTCACACAGTGCTTCTCATACCAAGTCCCAGGAGAGTGTGGAAGAGGAAACACACCAGCCTAAGGGGAAAAAAGGGTAGGTTTAGGCCAGGTGTGGTGGCATATGCCTGTAATCCCAGTGGCTCAGGAGGTCGAGACAGGATAGTTGTGAGTTCAAAGCCAGCCTCAGCAACGGCAAGGCACTAAGCAGCTCAGTGAGACCCTGTCTCTAAATAAAATACAAAATAGGGCTGGGGATGTGGCTCAGTGGTCGAATGTCTCCAAGTTCAATACCCAGGACCAAAAAAAAAAAAAAAGTGTGTGTGTGGGGGGTAGGTTCAGCAGAAGGAAACCCCAACAGCAATGAATTTTCTGCTTTTCTTTCCCACTGCCTATACTAAGCACCATGTTGATTATTGTGAGAACCAGAGATACATTGACTTGATTTATATATTTAGCTTTAAGAATTTGAACAGCAGCCAGGCGGGGTGGCACGTGTGGCCTGCAATCCCAGCAGCTCTGAAGGCTGAGGCAGGAGAATTGCAAATTTGATGCCAGCCTCAGCCCTAAGCAACTTAGTGAGGCCCTCCCTTAAGAAAAAAAATTTTTTTTGAATACCAATAGAAATAGCCTCAAAGTTTATTGATAGACTTAAGATTACCCTTAAAATAATCTTTATAATTTTTTATTACAATGTTGAACACCACTGAAAAATTTTTAGAAAAGATAATATATAAAAATAGGAATCAGCTCTTATTCCATCACCTTAGTATATATAACCACTGGTAACTAGTATATAGCTCTCCAATCTTTATCAATGCAGGTGTACATAGTACTTCACAAAATTGAGATTAGACTGTAAATACTTAGTTTATAAAGAAAATGGCATATTCCTTTTTTTTATTGTTTACTGATTGCTACATTTTGCACATTGAATGTCCCCTGAAGTGTCAGGTGTTGACAGTTTGATCACCAGCCAGTGGCACTACTGGGAGGTGGTAGGACTTTTAGGAGATGGGGCTTAGTGGAATGTAGGTGGGTTATTGAAGGTACGTCCCTGAAGGGGATATTGGGACTCTGACTCCTCCTCTTCCTCTTTCTTTCTCCTTCCTGGTTCCCATGAAGTGGGCACCTTTCTGGGGCATGGGCTTCCTGCCGTGATTTACTGCCCACCACAGACCCCAAAGCAATGGGGCCAAGTAACCAGGGACTGAAACCTCCAAAACTGTGAGCTAAAATAAACCTTTCCTCTTTTTAACTTGCTGATCTCAGGTACTCGCTTCAGTCGTGGAAAGCTGACTAGTTTAGTGGTTATCTGACATTTCTGAACTGCAAGGACCATTTTGAACTCCATGAAGAGAAGTATTGCTTTAGCTGCCCAGAATTTTAAGGTTCCAGAAGCTACCCTCATGCAGCTGTCCAAAAAGGGCAAGCAGCAAATACATCAGAGATCAGTGTATGGGACTCTTTTTTGGAACAAAAACTAATTTTTCAGATGCAAGATCTTTTATTTGTCAATGGACTGTAAGCTCAAAAAACTTGGTTTATCTCTTTATCCCTTGAATATGCCTAGTATAAATATTGAAGCATTGAATTATTGAAATATGTGCTGAGTAGGGAAATGAATTGTGATCAAATCTAGTAACCTGGATGGTGATGCCCATATGATAATGAAGCACTGGGCAGTTTGAAGAAGGAAAATTACCAACAGGTGGAAATCATCATGTGAGTTCTCTTGATGACAGAACTTTTTTTAAAAAAATGTTTTTAATTTTAATTGACATTTAATAATTGTACATTTATGAGGGCCAACGTGATATTTCAATATGTGTATACCATGTGCAATGATCAGATCAGCGTATAATTGGCATACCCATCACCTAAATATTTATTATTTCTCTGTTAGGGGCATTTAAAATCTCCCATATTAACTACTTTTAAATATGCAACAAATTGTGGTTAACCATGGTTATCCTACTGTGCCACAGAACAGAAGTCATTGCTCTCTTCCAACTGCACCTCCTTACCTGCTCACCAGCCTCTCTCCATCCCTCCCTCCTCCACACCCTTCCCAGCCACTGTTCTCTTTGCTTCTATGAGATCAACATTTTATGTGTGGGTAGTGCTAGGAATTGAACCCAGGGCCTTGCACACACCAGGCAAGCACCTATCAAGCTATTCCCCTAGTTTCAGGAGATCAACTTTTTAGCTTCCAAATATTAGTGAGAACATGTAGTATTTGTCTTTGTCTTCCTGACTCACTTCACTGAACATAATATTCTTCAGTTCTGTTCATTTTGCTGCAAAGGACAGAATTTCATTTTTTTTGTGGCTGAATACTAATGCATCGTATATATTCCCCACATTTTCTTTATCCATCAATTGACATGTTGTTTGATTCTACCTCTTGTCTATTGTGAAGAATGCTGTAGTAAATGTGGGAGTGCACATATCTCTTCAACACACTGATTTTGTTTCCTTTGGATATATGCCCAGTTGTGGGATTACTATATCAGATGGAAGTTTTATTTCTAGTTTTTTGAGAGGAAACCATCATTTTTAACAACTGAGTACTATCCCTCTCTATGAGTAGGCCATCATTTAATCAGTTCTATAGCACTGGACACTTGTTTGAAATTTGGGGGAGGGATTAAATTTTTTATTATGGAGATATTCATACATAATGGTAGAATAGTGTAATTCTGTGAACACACTGATGACAGAACTTTGAATAACACTAAGTCACTGTCAATATTTAGACAAGGAAAATAATAATTGATGTATTCCTTCCTACTTCATGCAGGTGTGATGCAGAAGGTGTCCTCAAGTGCTGCAGAATAGGGATCTAGTGTTCTGTATACAGTGTTGACTGTTTAAAAAATAACAGTAATTTGAACAATTTTGGGGTTCCAGCATATGATTCTTAGGTTAATTCTGTTTTCCCCTATTCAGTTAATTTTGTTCTCTCCTGTCAAATTGATCCATTCTTTCAGAAAAGCGTTTACTTTTACTAAGTGCCTGTTACATGCTGGGCACTGTGTAAGTGCTGGGGATACAGTAGGGAACAAGACAGAATTCCCTGCCTTCGTGGAATAAAAGGATGATATGATTTCAGGTATGAAAAAGATAACAGCAGAGTACAGAAATAGGATGATGGCATATGTCTGTTATGTTTTGGATTTGGTATGTCCCCCCAAAGCTCAGGGGTTGAAGACATGGTCCCCAGTGCAGTAATGTGCAGAAGTGGTGATTTCAGGAAGGGATTGGACCATGAGGCCTCTAACCTCATCAGTGGATTAATCCATTTGGTGGATTAATAACTTGAAGAGACTAGTGGGAGGAGGTGGAAAATGTCAGAAGGTGGGGCATGGTTAGAGGAAGTATGTCACTTGGGGGTGTGAAAATCAGGACTATATCTTGTCCCTGGCTCTTCCTCTCTTTCTGCTTCCTGGTTTTCATAAGAAGAATACCATGTCCATGCCCTTCCACCATGGCCTGCTTCACCTCAGGCCCAATGCAAGGAGCCAGCCAACCACAGACTGAACACACTGAGATTCTGAGCTAAAATAAATCTTTTTGAACTTCAAGTTGTTTGGGTTGCATATTTTATGTGTCACAGGAACACATCAGCTAACACGCTGTCCTTGTGTATGTGTGCATTTGCGTGTGTGAGTGTGCATACAGTGAGTAACACTAAAGCAGAGTGACTCTTTTCCCTTCAGTGCGTGCTTGGGTGGGTGCAGTGCACTCGGCAGCCCCGAGGACCCCAGAGTAGCTGTGGCCCACTGAGTAAGTGTGACACCCGATATAGCAGACTTCAGGAGTCCCACCTTCTGTCCAAGTGCTTTGTGGGTGTAGTGCCTCCACATGATGATAGCACACTGAGTAGAAAGACAAAATCCTTAAACTGCAGATAACCGAAAAGTTCTACTTTCTCTGAAGATACTGAACTGATGATATTATTATAACGAATTATAACTCCATGCTCTATGTGACAAGTACTTTGAAAACCCTTGAAACCCTTTTCAGGTGAGACCATTCTCAGCCAAACTTGGGGTGGAATGTCCATGTGGGGTATGACCAATGTACTGCATGCATGGGTTTCTAGAAAACAATTGGGATAGGAAAGATGTGAGAGCATACTTTTTTTGTTTATTCCACCATTTAGCTTCTCTTTAATTCTTTGCACAAAGATAAATTGCTTTAAGTGTGATACCAAATTTTATTTAGTTTTCTGAACTCTGGGGATCATCTCTAAAATGAAAAAAGAATATCAATATTAAATATAGAACCAAAGATTTAAAAATATTTCAGCCATGCAATACATTGCTGCTGGAGTAAGTGTGCTGTGCTATTCCAGCCCCAGTGAATAGTTAATGCCTTGAACGACTCCTATTACCACAGGTTGCCAGGCCACCAGATATCGAAGCCAATCCAGGATTTGTCCATACAAAAAATGGGTGCGTTCCCAGCTGAGTCTGTGTTAAGGAGGTTGTTCTGTATACAGCCAAGTAACAGAAATAGTCATAAACATCATTTGAAAATATAGTAAGCAATGTAATAAATGGTTGTTTCCTTTCTTGTTAATTCTATGTGTTCAATTAAAAGCCCTTCCTGTGCTGGCATGGTGTTGTGTGCACACCCAGCTGCTAAGACGGCTGAGGCAGGAGGATTGCTTGAGTCTAGGAGTTTGGGGCCAGCTTGGGCAAAACAGTGAGAGAGAGAGAAAATGAATGAGAGAGAGAGAGAGAGAGAGAGAGAGAGAGAGAAAGAAAAAGAGAAAGCAAGAAAGCCCTCACATGATTTTTTTTTTTTTTTTTTTTTGGTAACAGGGATTGAACTCAGGGGCACTCAACCACTGAGCCACATCCCAGCCCTATTTTGTATTTTATTAAGAGACATTTATTGAGTTGCTTACTATCTCACCATTGCTGAGAGGCTGGCTTTGAACTCGAGATCCTCCTGCCTCAGCCTCCAGAGCCACTGGGATTACAGGTGTGTGTCACCGCACCTGGTTTTTCACATGATGTTTTTAGCATTATGTTTATCATTTTTATTTACACCATACTCACTTTCTGAAAACAAATTGAAACTATTTAAAACAAAATCCCAAACTATAAAACAAGGATAGAAGGCAAGGGTACATCCTAAATGAAGGAGGCAGAGGGAGTGACCACATTGGAAAGTGAGCAAAAACAGCTTTCCTGCAGCCGGCACATCAGAGGGAACTTATATATTAAAAAGGAAAACCCTGGTTCACGGGCAAGACATTCCTTTTTCTGGAATCTGGTAACTTCTGCTAAGGGACCTTAACTTAACGCATAGTGACTCTGATAGCAGTTTTACAAACAAAGGGCAGCTCTTTCACAAGTAGCTTTTCCTTATACTGAGTCTCAAAAAAAAAAAAAGAGTACACGTGATATTTAGCACTTCATTCTCTTCAGGCTATATAAAGAAATGATTTGCTGAACCATCCTTTGGTATTTAAACTATCATCTAAGATTACATTTGTGAGTCTATTATCATTGATTTAATTAATTAATTAATTAATTGGGTACTGGGGATTGGACTCAGGGGCATTTGACCACGGAGCCACATTCCCAGCCCTATTTTGTATTTTATTTAGAGACAGGGTCTCACTGAATTGCTTAGCACCTCACTTTTGCTGAGGCTGGCTTTGAACTCATAATCCTCCTGCCTCAGCCTCCAAAGCCACTGGGATGACAGGTGTGTGTCACCCGCCCAGCTATTATCACTAATTTTATAACAAAGGTTTATGTCTTACAGTTTTACAAGTTATGAATCAAAAGCTATACTGGACTCCATCTCCTCCTGTTAGCAGGGAAATTCAGGACAGTGGATGGAAAAGAAGGAGGAGGTAGTTGTGCGCCACCAGCCTTGAGTTGGGAGCAGGCTGGAGGCCAGGCCTGTGAAGGATCAGGTGGCTGTTGAGGCTGGGCTCTGTTGCCACAGCATGGCCTGAGACCCAAAGGCCCACGGACACTGCCTGCTGTTCTAAGGCCCTATGTGGATGTCTCCACCTGCTTTGCCATGTGCTCTGCTGTCAGCAGCCCCCAGGAGACCACACATTCAGGGCTGCTGGGGAGAGAGGAGGCCGGAGCAAGGAGGCTGCTTCCTTAACCTGCAAGGTTTAGGTGTTTCTTAGCAAGTGTGTCTTGTGGGAAGAGAGTATGTGGCAGGGCCATGCCAGCACTCACTGCCCTTCTGTATACAGTGGTGGGGGGCATGCCATGAGCTGGTCAAGGCTGTGAGTCTTGTTTCCTCTCAATCTCATCATCACCAGGATCTAGCCTAAGAGATCAGGCATGCTGCAGAATCTAAAAAGCTAAAATCCAGGGTGGGGAGAAGCCTACTCATTTCTGATAATAATCAAATTTGGTACACCCTAAAAATATTCCTCTATATTTTAATTCACACGTGGGGCTTTTAAGTTTTCCAATTTATCTATCAGTCCCTGCACCCACCTATTCAGTCTAACCATTTAAATATCAATCCATCTATCTATTCATCCACCTATCTGGATTACTTTTCCATGTAATCTACTTATCTTTCACATGGTCTCATCTGATTTCTGCTAAATCCCTTGATGTGGAAAATATGAAACACAAAGAGTGGAACACTGGGGGCATTCCACTTTCTAACCAGAATAATATAGGCACAGACAAGAAAAGAGATTTTAAATGTTGTGAAATAGATTGCTAGAGAGAACAGAAACTTTTGCTGTTAACTGTGCAAAGATAATAAATGTTTAGATGGAAGAGCACATCCCCAGAAACATTTAAGGTAAGGGTATCACACTTTTTAAAAGGATACGGGTTACTGATCATCCTCTTCAAATCAACCTTCTCTTTGCAGTAAGGGCAGGTCTGCTTCTTACCAACAATACACCAACCTCGGATGCAGAATTCGTGAAAGCTGAAGCATCTTGTTAGGGAAGCTTCTGGATAGTCAGTGGCAATGTCTGGCTCAGGGTGACATGGACATCATCCACCTTTAGAGGCCAGCATGGCTGTCGGTCATGGCTGGACTGTGCACATCCCGTTGGCAGGGCTTCTCTAAGACAATGGTAACACCAAGGACAGAGAGCTTGACCTGGGAGCCGCATTAGCTTTCTGACCTGAGGAATCTACTTAGCTTCTTGGCCTGACTTGTTCTTCCCTCGCTTGGGTCTGGTAAGAGTCTGATAAAGGATGTGAGGAAGCTTTTGTCTTACATGAGCCTATTTTGTTTCACTACCTTCTTTATTTTTCCGTTTCTCGTGCGTTCACCACAATTCTCCTTTTTGTGCATTACTTCTATGCACTCAGCCTCGTCTTAGACACTTTGGCAAGTTTAAATTATTTGTGATCATAAACTTACAGATATATCACACCCCCCCCCCCCCCCTGCCTGCTTGTTTGGTGCCAGGGATGAACCCAGGGCCTCACACATGCTAAGCATATGCTCTACCACTGAGCCACACCACCCCATTTCTAAACTTACAGACCTTTTTATTGACTTCTTAAGTTTTTTCCTCAACTTTCTTCTTATTACTGATAAGGAGTCAATTATTTTTAATTGAATATAAGCTCAAAAAGCTGAACTTCTCAAACTCTAGCCATTTACAAATTCATTTGTGTACATCACCCTTTTCAGAAAGTCAGACGCTTTGCCCCTAAAGCTGAGAGTGAATCCCATGATTTTGCACACCACCAGGGACTTATTCCAATGTATCATGACTTTCTGTGTACATACATGTCTCCCTTAGGCCACACCTTACCTGTGGGACTATGACTCACTCAGCTGTGTCGCCAGCACCTTAAGCAGGTGCCCAAGAAATACTGTTTGAGTGAATATATGAATGGATCATTCAAAACCAATTATTTTTGGAAAAAAGCATTTCTAGGTTCCCCAATATTGCAGATTTGGGCAAAATGATTAACTATAGTGAGATCATCTTATTGATTTATTTACTTCCTAAAATCGCTGTTCCCGGTGTGACTTTCAGGGCCAAGATTACATAGTCTTCTGACCAGCCTGCCATGTTCCCATGTTAACAGCAATGATGTAGATGGCCCCTCCTTAACAAGTGGAGGACCACGGAGGAGTAACCCTGTGAAGGCCATGTCCACAATTCCTCAATACTAGATCTCTATGCAACTCAGAGTTTCCACTACTTTATGTTCTTGGAATTGGGGACATTTTTTTTTCCAATATGCTTGGATTAACAAAGTGCTGTATTACAACAAAGATTTTAAATCAAAATCCTTATAGCTCTCCGTTTAAAAGGGATGGAGTAAAGGTTTCATCTTTCAGATGGGTATGGAGTTCAGGGGTCATAGAGCCAGTACCGAAATGTCCATTTCTTCTTAACATGTTCTTTCTTTCATCTTCAAAATCTTCATCCTGAAAAACCTGCACATTGACAGAACTGACCTGGAGCAATACTCAGATAATCCCTGCTTGTTAATATGACTCATGGTGGCCCGCTCCTCACTAATATGACTCATGCTAAAATATGCCATTAAAAATACTCCCTGCAAGCAAATTTAAAGGTGACTACATTTAGATCACATATACATACACGTACCACCATCTCTAAGGGCTTTTTAAGGTGGAAAGAGAAAATATTTCCACTTGCAAATGGAATAAGGGGCTGTGTTCCAACATTTGAAAAGTAAATCATATTTAAAACTAAGGCCAGACTTGGAAAATTTTGACTTAGACTGATAGTTTTTTTGGAAAAGTATCATACTGAAAAACCACTATAGAATGCCATATGGGATATCTTTTGTGTTTCTTCCCTTAAAATTTTAAGGCTTACATGTTGGAGAAAAGGCTCCTATTACACATTTGAGATGCATTTGGACCAGTTTTTGATTCTATTCTCAGAATTGAATAAGTGGAAACTGTCCAGGTTAAACAGAACTGAATCACGGGCCCTGCACATCGAAGGCATTAGGTATTACTGACTGAATTAGGCGGGTGTCAGCGGTACACGACAGCTGGTATAACCATTTCATAATGCCAGAGCTTTGATTTGGCTGGGTATACAGAGATAATGTTATAAAATTGATACTGTATTATAAAATAAATATAAATTATGCTTTTTTTATTTAGGAACAAATTAAAGTATGGACTGTTGGCCAACCCCAACACAACTTGGATATCCATAGTTACATGCTTGGACGGCCCATGCTTTGTTCATGATTCTTGATGCCAGCATTTTTCAATCTACTGAGGCCCTTATCAGGGGTGCCTGGAGTTCCCAATAATGCTAGCTTCCAGGTCTGGCTTGTCTGATACCTCCCACATCAAGATGCCTCAGTCAATAGAGAATTGTTGGAGGAAAAACCCACAGACAGAGGAGCCAAATGATTAAAGAACAAGAAGTCACATATTGGGCCTTCCTTTTGTCATTTAAGGTGTTCTGCTGCTTGTGGCACTATTATTTTTAACACTTCTTCCAAAAAAGCTGATAAAAGGGTTTGGTTTTCTCCCTTGGCCACCCACTATGATTCCTTTTTCTACAAGGGGGCTCCTAGGATTTTCTCTAGGCAAAAGCACACTTTAGATTTTTTGGCCCACCAAGATTTGGACACCAGGCCGGGCGTGATGGCACATGTCTCTAATCCCGGTGGCTCAGGAGGCTGAGGCAGGAGGATTGCAAGTTCAAAGCCAGCCCCAGCTACTGAGCAAGGCCCTAGGTAACTGAGTGAGACCCTGTCTCAAAACAAACAAAAATAGAAAAGGGCTGGGGATGTGGCTCAGTGGATAAGCAACCCTGGGTTCAATTCCTGGTTGAAAAAAAAAAAAAAGACTCAGACATCAGCTCCTCCTGAACAGTCTTGAGTTCTTCCCTCCACTTGACACTTCACTGTTCTGTTTTGGTTTTGGTTCTGGGGATGGAACCTGGGGCCTCATGCATGCTGATCACGTGCTCTATGCCTAAACTCCACCTCCAGCCCCCTACTTTTACTCTTTCTCTCACCCTTAATCTCCTTCTTTCCTTAGACTTTCTTAGTTATGTGCTCACTTGGGGTTTCTACCAGCTTCCACAGGCAACATCCTGCTCCGGTGCTGCAGCCTTTCTGGCCACGTGGCACTAAGAGTCCTCTTTAAAAAGAAAATTACTGGCTAGGCACGGTGGTGCACATCTGTAATCCAAGTGACTCAGGAGGATGAGGCAGTATTACAAGTTTAAGGCCAACTTAGTGAGACCTTGTTTCAAATAAAAATAAAAGGGCTAGGGATATAGCTCAGTGGTAAGCACCCTGGCTTCAATCCCTTGTACTGCCACCAAAAAGAAAAAGGGACATTACTGGAGTTCATTTTAATTGGCAGCTCATTATTCAGCAAAGATTATCAGAAAGTCTCCAAAGACTGGGCTGGAGGACAAAGGTCTGGGACTTGGAGATGGAAGAGGAGATGGGGACAGGAGGAGGAAAGGGAGGGAAGACAGAAGCCTGAGGAAGGAGGAAGGCCGCGGGTTCCCAGGGAAGGATACACGTGATTACACGACAGCTGGTAGGTGTTTTCAATGAGCCCCTCTTCATCGAGCTCCACGATGATCCTCTGTCCACAGACGGCACAGATGTCATCAGCCAAGCTCCTTGTGGGCATCCCGCTGACGCTGTAGAACTGTTAGGGGAAAAAACAGAGCGCTGCTGGACAGGAGAGCAGCCGCCACTGACCGCAGGGCAGCCACGGCCAGGTGCCGGACAGGCAGCCCTTGGTGCATGGAGTCTTCATTGCTTCTCAGTTGGGTGACAAATTGACATCTTTTCCTGTGGGGCCCATGCTGCAGAGGAGTTACGAGATACAACCCTGAATCCCAGGTGGACCCAATGCGCATCACCACCTGTAACCACCCTTTGAACCTCAGTATTTAGGAATCCCTTGAAATGAATCGCTTTTATCCAGGGCGGTAGTTCAGAATCATAAGGGAAGCTTTGGGTTTATCCTTCATCTGGCCCTTCTCTTTATTCTCCTGGAGATTCTGTTTCAGAGATCTGCAGAAAATCCTGGCATCTTTTATCCCCCCTCCTTAATTCCCATGTTCTGGTTGGGGAGCACACAGACTAATCACCACAATTCTAACTTGGGATACTGAGTCTTCTGTGGATGAGAAGTGGTTCTCAGCATTAGTAGCACATTAGAGTTCCTAGGAAATACTTTTTTTTTTTTTAAAAAATAAGATATTTATTTTATAATAGTTTTTTTTAAAAGAGATCAACACAGACATAGCACAGACTACCCATGTGCCACACACCCCATTTCCTCTATTACAATTACTGATTCATTTTAATGTTTATGGGGACTGTCGGTCAGAAACCTGCAGGAAAGGCTAGTAGGCTGGAGACCCTGGGAAGAGTTGGTGCTGCTGTTGAGGCAGGATCCCTTCTTCTCTAGGAAGCCTCAGGTTTTGCTTTTTAGGCCTTTAATTGATTAGATGAGGTCCACCCACATTACCACGGGTAAACCTCCTTCACTTACAGTCAGCTGATTATAGAAGTTAATCATATGCATGACATACCTTCATAGCAATATCTAGACCAGAGCTTAACAGACAACTGGGCACCACAGCCTCGGTAAATGGACCCAAAGTTGAACCATCACAACCTCCATCAGCAACGTCAGTTATGTGGAACTATTCCTCATGGACTTATCTATTCTCCATCTATTTATTTATTTGATCACTTATTTACATGAATATGGTCATATATAGCTGTTTATTTTATACTTGGCTTTGTTATGCTTTGGATCCAGAACGTCCCCCCGCCCCAAAGCTCATGTGTTCAAAGCTTAGTTCCCAATGCAGCAATGTTTACAGGTGGGGCTTTCAGGAAATAATTGGATCATGAGGGCTCTAGCCTCATTAGGTTCTAGTCAGTGCATTAATCCATTCAATGGATGTTTTCATCAGTTTTTTTGAGTCACTCTGACCAAAATACCTGATGAGAACAATTTAGATGACAAAAAGTTTGAGACTCTTGGCTTGAGAGGTTCAGTCCACGGTCAGCTGACTTCATAGCTTTGGGCCCGAGATGTGGCAAAACACCAGGGTAGAGAAGTGTCTGGACGAAAGTGGCTTAGGACAAGGAAACAGGAAGAAGTGGGGGGAGGGAGACGGAGAGAACCTCTGATCAACCAGGGACAAAATATAAACCGCAAAGTCACACCCCCAGTGACCTACTTCCTCCAGCCACAACCTACCTGCCCACAGTTAATCACCAGTGGACTGATCCACAGATTAGGTTACAGCTCTCTTAATCTAATCATTTAACCTCTGAAAATTCTTGCATTGTCTCACGTATCTTATGGGGGATGACTGACATCTAAACCATAACAATGGATTAAAAATTTGAATGCACTCCTGGGCAGTGGTGGAAACTGCAGGCAGGATGGGCATACTTAGAGGAAGTCAGTCGGCACGCCGTTGGGGATTATAGCTTGTCTGTGGTCCCTTCCCCGCCAGCTCTGATGCCATTGGCTGAGCAGCTTTCTTCCACCACACTGTTGCATCATAGTAACTGCCTAACCTCGGGCCCAAAGCCATGGAGCCAGCTGGCCATGGACTGAGACTTCTGAGACCATGAGCTAGAATACACTTTTCCTCCTTTAAGTTGTTTTATGAGGTATTTTTTTCACAGTGACGAAGAGAGGACGGATAGTGTTATAACCTAGTACTGCTACTGTTTTGTTGCCCAACTTCCAGCCCTGGCTACTGGGAGCTCTTCTGGTTTGCTTCTGTGGTTCTTTGACATCTCCATCCTTGTGGTTTTTTTTTTTCTTTTTTTTCCTAGTCTTGGTTTTAGGATGGCCTTACTTCCAAGTCCTCCAGGATGCTCCAGGCTCTTGTTCACATAGAGAATGAAGTCATTGTTCAGATCTATATTCCTTGTTCAGATCTTTTTTTTTTTTTTTTAATTTTTTATTGTGGGTTGTTCAAAACATTACAAATTTCTTGACATATCATATTCCACACTTTGATTCTAGTGGGTTATGAACTCCCACCTTCACCCCATACACAGATTGCAGATTCACATCAGTTACACATCCAATGATTTACAAATTGCCATACTAGTGTCTGTTGTGCTCCGCTGCCTTTCCCATCATCCCCCCTCCCCCCTCCCCACCTCTCCCCTCCCCTCCCCTCCTCTCTCTCTACCCCCTCCACTGTATAACCCTGAGGGTCTCCTTCCATTACCGTGCAATTTACCTTCTCTCTCCCTTTCCCTCCCACCTCTCATCCCTGTTAAATGTTAATCTTCTTCTCCTGTTCTTCGTCCCTACTCTGTTCTTAGTTACTTTCCTTATATCAAAGAAGACATTTGGCATTTGTTTTTTAGGGATTGGCTAGCTTCACTTAGCATAATCTGCTCTAATGCCATCCATTTCCCTGTAAATTCTATGATTTTGTCATTTTTTAATGCAGAGTAATACTCCATTGTGTATAAATGCCACATTTTTTTTATCCATTCGTCTATTGAAGGGCATCTAGGTTGGTTCCACAGTCTTGCTATTGTGGACTGTGCTGCTATGAACATCGATGTAGCAGTGTCCCTGTAGCATGCTCTTTTTAGGTCTTTAGGGAATAGACCAAGAAGGGGAATAGCTGGGTCAAATGGTGGCTCCATTCCCAGCTTTCCAAGAACTCTCCATACTGCTTTCCAAATTGGCTGCACCAATCTGCAGTCCCACCAGCAATGTACAAGTGTACCCTTTTCCCCACATCCTCGCCAGCACTTGTTGTTGTTTGACTTCCTAATGGCTGCCAATCTTACTGGAGTGAGATGGTATCTTAGGGTGGTTTTGATTTGCATTTCTCTGACAGCTAGAGATGTTGAGCATTTTTTCATGTACTTGTTGATTGACTGTATGTCCTCCTCTGTGAAGTGTCTGTTCAGGTCCTTGGCCCATTTGTTGATTGGGTTGTTTGTTCTCTTATTGTCTAATTTTTTGAGTTCTTTGTATACTCTGGATATTAGGGCTCTATCTGAAGTGTGAGGAGTAAAGATTTGTTCCCAGGATGTAGGCTCCCTATTTACCTCTCTTATTGTTTCTTTTGCTGAGAAAAAACTTCTTAGTTTGAGTAAGTCCCATTTGTTGATTCTAGTTATTAACTTTTGTGCTATGGGTGTCCTATTGAGGAATTTGGAGCCCGACCCCACTGACTGTAGATCGTAGCCAACTTTTTCTTCTATCAGACGGCGCGTCTCTGATTTGATATCAAGTTCCTTGATCCATTTTGAATTCACTTTTGTGCATGGCGAGAGAAAGGGATTCAGTTTCATTTTGTTGCATATGGATTTCCAGTTTTCCCAGCACCATTTGTTGAAGATGCTATCCTTCCTCCATTGCATGCTTTTAGCCCCTTTATCAAATATAAGATAGTTGTAGTTTTGTGGATTGGTTTCTGTGTCCTCTATTCTGTACCATTGGTCCACACGCCTGTTTTGGTACCAGTACCATGCTGTTTTTGTTACTATTGCTCTGTAGTATAGTTTGAAGTCTGGTATCGCTATACCGCCTGATTCACACTTCTTGCTTAGCATTGTTTTTGCTATTCTGGGTCTTTTATTTTTCCATATGAATTTCATGATTGCTTTCTCTATTTCTACAAGAAATGCCATTGGGATTTTGATTGGCATTGCATTAAACCTATAGAGAACTTTTGGTAATATCGCCATTTTGATGATGTTAGTTCTGCCTATCCATGAACAGGGTATATTTTTCCATCTTCTAAGATCTTCTTCTATTTCTCTCTTTAGGGTTCTGTAGTTTTCATTGTATAAGTCTTTCACCTCTTTTGTTAGGTTGATTCCCAAGTATTTTATTTTTTTTGAAGATATTTTGAATGGAGTGGTTGCCCTCATTTCCATTTCAGAGGATTTGTCGCTGATATACAGGAATGCCTTTGATTTATGCGTGTTGATTTTAAATCCTGCCACTTTGCTGAATTCATTTATTAGCTCTAATAGTTTCTTTGTAGAGCCTTTTGGGTCTGCTAGATATAGAATCATATCATCTGCAAATAGTGATAATTTAATTTCTTCTTTTCCTATTTTTATGCCTTTAATTTCTTTCGTCTGTCTAATTGCTCTGGCCAGTGTTTCGAGAACTATGTTGAAGAGAAGTGGAGAGAGAGGGCATCCCTGTCTTGTTCCAGATTTTAGAGGGAATGCCTTCAGTTTTTCTCCATTCAGAATAATGCTAGCCTGAGGCTTAGCATAGATTGCTTTTACAATATTGAGGTATGTTCCTGTTATCCCTAGTTTTTCTAGAGTTTTGAACATAAAGGGATGCTGTACTTTGTCAAATGCTTTTTCCGCATCTATCGAGATGATCATATGGTTCTTATTTTTAAGTCTATTGATGTGGTGAATAACATTTATTGATTTCCGTATATTGAACCAGCCTTGCATCCCAGGGATGAATCCTACTTGATCATGGTGTACAATTTTTTTTATATGTTTTTGTATCCGATTCGCCAGAATTTTATTGAGGATTTTTGCATCTAGGTTCATTAGAGATATTGGTCTGTAGTTTTCTTTCTTTGAAGTGTCTTTGTCTGGTTTAGGTATCAGGGTGATGTTGGCCTCATAGAATGAATTTGGAAGTTCTCCCTCCTTTTCTAT